GCAGGGTTCTAATGAGGAAAGTGCAGGGTCTGCAACCCTTTAGACATGATTTCCCTAGCTCACCAAATATACAATTTTTGTTGCAGGGGATGCCAAAAAAAAAAAAAAATATATAATATATATCTGACTTGCATCTTAGTGCAGATTTCTGGGAAAAATCAGTGAGCCAATCACACAAGTAGTAAATGACGTTTGTTGGGTGTTCTGTATACCATCTGAGTACAAAATGCCTCCAGGTAGCCATATTGAACTGCATTTTATAGAACATTACAGCGCCGTGAATTGAAAAGTAGTTTTTAACCTCTTAGTGCGCACGTCTCCCAGCCCTTTAAGGGCCTTTCCATGAGGCGCCAGTATACGTGCTCGGAGCATTCACACTCTGGCACTCAAATATACAGCAAGTTGGAGTCAAGACCCAGCCACTGAGAGGCTGCATATTTGTGTAGAGTCGGCATCAACAGGTTAATTACAATATGACTTGTTACAATTGCATATACTGCACCTTTTTTAATTATGATTTGCCATTTTCTTCCCCACAAAAGTGGAGTTGCCCTTTAAGTGACAAATTAAAGTGGAACTAAAGTCAAAAAATTGCAAACAGGCTCCTTATTGCAGAAGAGACATGCAAAGTCTCTAAAATACACTTACCTGCCAGTTCGCAATCTGCTGTAGAATGTACACTGAGCTGCAAATGCACAGCTCCATTTACATCCAGGCACAGTGCCTGTGCTGGGATGACAGCACTCCTGCGCATGCATGGGAATAATGCCATCCAATCAGGACAGTCAAAGATTGGCACCTGGAAGAAATTGCAGCGCTAGTGAGGGACCTCACGGGCAGCAGATCGTTGGAACAAAAAGGTAAAGCATTTCTGACTTTAGTTCTACTTTAATAAAACCTGTGGTCTCTCTAATCGTAGCTGTGAGAATCACTCCACTACATCCTCTAGAATACAGAGTAGTCACCATTGTCCTAGAAGCATCACAGGCAAGTACTTGTAAAGCATCCATTGACCAGGAGTCCAGATAATGGAGGGGTCCCAATATATTTTTAATAGGGAAATAGGAGGAGCCGAACATTTAACATCCCTTACAGCACATTCACACCACACAGAAAAATGCAGACGTTGATGTGGTTTTGAAACAAACTCTGTATTTTAAATGCATGGTAAACTGCTCAAAATGTTACTAAGAGCCCATTCACACTTGAATCCCATTTTTCCCAATCAGTACCATTCATATATGACACAGCGACTTGAAAAGTGGTTCCTGCACTACTTTGGTCTGATTTCATGTGACTTGAGGGTCATAGACTTCAATTTAAACCCTCCGAAGTCACACTAGAATGATATAAAATGTGACTTGTGTGCGAGTTTGTACAGTACAATCATCCGTGGTCAAAGCCAAAGTCACACTGAAATACTATTTTTTTTTTTTTTTTTTGGTAGCACAAGTGTGAATGTAGCCTTAACCCAGGATCCTGCATTCGCAATATCTGGTCACCCAGAGTACACAACACATGAAAATACAATTATTTTTAGTAAATATGAACTGCTAAATACTTTTTTTTTTTTTTAAACCAGCAGTATATAGCAGTAATATGACTTCTATCAGTGTCCAGCCGAGCACTGGTTAAAGCTTGTAAGAGGAGTTCTCATTCTCCTCTCAGTTCTCTATGAGATTGCATAACCTCTGACCCTCTGTCTGGACAGCGCTGACTGACCCTGTGCTGATTACATACACCCTTGACTCAACCCTCTAACTGCCACTTTGTCTGGACAGATTTGAAGTATAAAACTTCTTTTATTTTCACCTTGTGAACAAAAGCCAAAACAGAAAAACCAATGCAGCGATCACAAGAACTGGCAATTTGATGAAATGTTTGTTTTGGGGTTTAATACCACTTTAAGACTTGAACTACAGAAAGAATGATTAAATATGAAGTCTGACCTCTCACCTCTGACTGGCAAACACCAGGCTCAGACATAGATATAACTCACGCAGAAGGCTCAGGTGTAACAAATGTGAAGAGGAATTCCATGCAACAAACCACTGATTAAGCTATGGATGCGATCTAGCAAACATGAAAACTTTTGCTAAAATTAGAAGGCCCACCCAGTCAGAATTTTGCATCATCTAGCCAGAATCCAGAAAGCACCTTAAAGAGTGACTTTCTGAAACCTGCATGGTCACTTCCTGTTTCCAGTGCCACCAATCACTTCCAAAAGCAGGAACAATTATGGTAACTGAAGAAACGTCTTAGACCGGGGGGGGGGGGGGGGTGTAATGATATTCATGTAATGATATTCATATATACAGTATCCCACAGCAATGAGTACACCCCTCACATTTTTGTAATTACGTTATATCTTTTCATGTGACAACACTGAAGGAATGTGAAGCAGTGAGTGTACATCTTGTATAACATGTAAATTTGCTGTCCCCTCAAAATAACTCAACACACAACCATTAATGTCTAAACCACTGGCAACAAAAGTGAGTACACCCCGAAGTGAAAATGCCTAAATTTGGCCCAAAGTGTCAATATTGTGTGGCCGCCATTATGTTCCAGCACTGCCTTAACCCTTTTGGGCATGGAGTTCACCAGAGCTTCACAGGTTGCCACTGGAGTCCTCTTCCACTCCTCCATGACAACATCAGGGAGCTGGTGGATGTTAGAGACCTTGCGCTCCTCCACCTTCCGTTTGAGGATGCCCCACAGATGCACAATAGAGTTTAGGTCTGGAGACATGCTTGGCCAGTCCATCACCTTTACCCTCAGCTTCTTTACCAAGGCAGTGGTCGTCTTAGAGGTGTGTTTGGGGTCATTATGTTGGAATACTACCCTGTGGCCCAGTCTCCAAAGGGAGGGGGATCATGCTCTGCTTCAGTATGTCACAGTACATGTTGGCATTCATGGTTCCCTCAATGAACTGTAGCTCCCCAGTGCTGACAGCACTCATGCAGCCCCAGACCATGACACTCCCACCACCATGCTTGACTGTAGGCAAGACACACTTGTCTTTGTACGCCTAGCCTGGTTGCCGCCACACACGCTTGGCACCATCTGAACCAAATCAGTTTATCTTGGTCTTCAGTAATCCATGTCCTTACTCTGCTTGTCTTGAGCAAACCGTTTGCAAGCTTTCTTGTGCATCATCTATAAAAGAGGCTTCCTTCTGGAACAACAGCCATGCAGACCAAGTTGATGCAGTGTGTGGTCTGAGCACTGACATGCTAACCCCCCCCCCCCCCCCCCCCAACCTCTGCAGCAATGCTGGCAGCACTCATACATCTATTTTCCAAAGACAACCTCTGGATATGACACTGAGCACATGCACTCAACATATTTGGTCGACCATGGCGAGGCCTGTTCTGAGTGGAACCTGTCCTGTTAAACCACTGTATGGTCTTGGCCACCGTGGTGCAGCTCAGTTTCAGGGTCTTGGTAATCTCCTTATAGCCTAGGCCAACTTTATGTAGAGCAACAATTCTTTTTTTCAGATCCTCAGAGAGTTCTTTGCCATGAGGTGCCATGTTGAACTTCCAGTGACCAGTATGTGAGAGTGAGAGCGATAACACCAAATTTAAACACACCTGCTCCCCATTCACACCTGAGACCTTGTAACACTAACGAGTCACACGACACCGGGGAGGTAAAAAAAAATGGCTAATTGGGCCCAATTTGGACATTTTCACTTAGGGGTGTACTCACTTTTGTTGCCAGCGGTTTAGACATTAATGGCTGTGTTGAGTTAGAGGGGACAGCAAATCTACACTGTTATACAAGCTGTACACTCATTACTTTACATTGTAGCAAAGTGTCATTTCTTCAGTGTTGTCCCATGAAAAGACAGAATAAAATATTTACAAAAATGTGAGGGGTGTACTCACTTCTGTGAAATACTGTACATCCCATGGTGGTAGTTCACATACACGTGATCCACTTGGATGGCAATTTGATAGAGTTTGTAAAAAGGGTCTTGTGCGAGTTTGGTAGTATGAATTCTGAATTCACATCCCATAGAGTATAGTGATTAATCGGAGAGGAGAATTCACATAGCAATGCGATTTTAAGGCGGTCTTGTGTACTGGGGGGGGGGGGTGTAAAAAAAAACAAAACAAAAAAACGCAACTGTAGTAAATCGCATTAAACACACTATGCTATTCAAACAGAGATCACATGCCTGCATCGTTTTGCATAAATTAGCAATTTTAGAAGGCATACATGTGAACCCAGGCTGAAGGTTTTTCCCTTCGCGCATAGAATTCATGAAGGTTGAAAACCCTTCACAGCCACTTTAAGTAGATAGGAGTCAACCTCATTCCCCAAAGCCTACTGACTGGACAATGAAGAAGCAGAAATGCTTTGGTGAGGATACCACCCTGCTGTAAGCGTGCCGACAGTGCAAGACTGACAGCACTGTAGAAGGCAAGAGAACCCCAAATCAACTTCTGATTCCCCTACCCCACCAGTAATTAACAAGAATTTTTTTTTTTTTTTTTAAAAGATTAAAAGCTGGGGGGGGGGGGGGGGGGAAGACAAGTGACAAATGTCCGTAGAATAAATTTGTCCAAAAAGTAACTGTCCGTTCCACTGTCCAAAACCATTCAATCAAAATGCTTTTTAGGATGTCCACTAACACGTTGCACCCCTTTGTCCCCTCATATCCCTCTCTTCTATTACAGGAATACATTTTAGTCGCTTTTAAATCACTAAACGTTACAGCATCTTCATAACTCTTTATGCACTCAGGTGTATGCCATAACAAAACACCTATGTGGCGCATATACGCGTGTATGATGTTACGTGTAAATGCAGTCTACTGGCCAGAATATTAACTTATTCCGGCCACTGGAATACTTTAACACACAAAAATGCTCATAAGCTCCTCTCAAGACACCTCTGCCACCTGTGTTGGAGAAAAAAAAAAAAAAAAAGCCAGATGCCTCCAGCAATGACTTTTTTTTGCCCGTGTGCATGAGGCCCAATATATTGCTCTAAAAGAAGAAGATTAGAGTTTGGAGTGATGATTCCAAATTTTGATGGCTCTTGGAACAAACAAGTACAGTAAAAGTGGTTAAATCTGTATACAAACATGTTACTAGAATACTAAAATAAATAAAACACCCATACAAAGATTTCATTGGGAATCTTACCCAAAAGTGCGCATGGCAATTAACCATCATAGTCCGTTCAATTAGTTCATCCGGGCACTCGAGGAGATGGTGTCCCGAGACCACACCAGCGTTATTGAGCAGCAGAAAGACATCGCCTACTTCCCGTCGCACCTTTTCGGCCGTCGTGTAGACGCTCTCTCGCTTCCCTACATCACAAGTGTACGTATAAACCTGGAGATTGGAGCTCGGCAGCACCTCTTCCTCAACAGGATTTCCCACTGTAAGAAGAATAAAGACAGGGTAAGTCTGGGTCATACTGGAGTGTTCTCATGTGATTTTGGAGCATCTCTACTTTGTGCCCCCCCCCCCCCCCCCCCCTTCCCACTGAGAGTTCAATGGAGAGCTAGTTACTAGGAGGAGAAGATGAATATTAGGCATTATTTTGTACATTTTCAGGCGCTCCTATTGAAGTCTATTGGGGCCACAAATGTGTGGTCATGCCCCAAAAAAAGCTCTTGTTCTTCTTTGAAGTGTTGAGTGACAGACATCTCAAATGTGTACAGGCACACTAGAACAATATGGAAACTGCGTGTTGAGCGTTAAAGCGCTTCAACTCACTCAGGTACAAATGGGAACAAAAAAAGGACAAACTTGAATAATCCAACCAGTCTGGTTAGTTGATCTACAGGAGATTGTACAGTCAGATTGTGTAGTGTAGGGCCAGCCTAAGGGTACAATCTATCAGAGGGATCCAGATTTTATTCTGGCAGGAAGCATGTTAATCCACTGCTGCACCAGCAGCGTTCATTCATCAAAGCTACTACACTATTTACTTTAGTAGACCGCTGCTTGTTCCACCAATGACGTCATCTGGACGGGTGCATGGATGATAAAAATGTGCCGCTTTAAACATTATACTAATAACAGATGTAGAGGGCATTTATTTATGCAAAAGGGAACGGGATCTCGTCCAAAACAAACTGGGACTGTACTTTGATCAGCAATAAGACAATACGTAGCCAAACCGAGTGTTGTGCAATGTATGAGCAGAGCCCAGCAATGAATGTTGTACTGTACATTAACCGTTTGGGAATGCCAGCGTTCCAGCCAGCGCGGTGTACACCGCAGGACACCTGCAATCACCGACACCAATCCAGTATTTACACACTGGCCAGGTCTGGTCTACAAGCATTACATATCAAGAGCCCGCTCTGCATATACAGATAATGTACACCTAGCTGTCTACCCCAGGTACAGTCACACTTGATCAGCTCTGCTCAGTGGCAACATCAGGTTTTCTGATTGCAAAAATCCCAGAAGTCTGCTAGTCTATGTCCCGGAACACAGCTGACACCTAAGATCACTGGAGAGTTTTTCATGGCAATGCATGTACTGGGGTCTTAAACTGGCAGCTGGGGTCTGCATAGGACTGAATCTTCAAATCCAGACAAATGGATATCAGAGAACTCCCGATCCCACAATTCCCATTACTAGTCCCCCCTAATCCCATTACTAGTCCTCCTGATCCTACTTCATATTATCCCTGATCTTAGATGTCCCAATAATATTATCAGAGATCCTAGATGTCCCCATTATTTGTCCAGAGCCTATATCTATTAGTCCTAATCCTAGATGTCCCAATATTATCCCTGATCCCAGATGTCCCCCATTCTTGGTCCTGATCTTACCTGTCCCATTCTTATCCCCACTCCTAGATTTTCCCCTTTATTCATCCTGACTCCAAAAATGTCCCTTTGATCCTACATGTCCCAATATTATTATTCCTCATCCTATGTGTTCCCACTATTAGCCATGAACCTATGTCCCTCATTCTTAGTCCTGATCCTACATGTCCCCACATTCCTCCTGATATTAGATAGCCCCACTACTATCCCTTATCCTAGCTGTCCCCTATTCAGAGTCCTGATGCTACATATCCCCATAATTCTTCCTGATCCTAGGATGTCCTCACCATTACTAGTCCTGATCCTAGGATGTCCTCACCATTACTAGTCCTGATCCTAGGATGTCCTCACCATTACTAGTCCTGATCCTAGGATGTCCTCACCATTACTAGTCCTGATCCTAGGATGTCCTCACCATTACTAGTCCTGATCCTAGGATGTCCTCACCATTACTAGTCCTGATCCTAGGATGTCCTCACCATTACTAGTCCTGATCCTAGGATGTCCTCACTATTACTAATCCTACGTGCCCCATTCTTATCCCTGCTCCTAGATGTTCCCATTATTACTCCTGACACTAAATGTCCCTTTATTAGTCTTGATCCTATGTGTCTAGTTCTTAGTCCTGATCTTACAAGTCTTGTTATTGGTCCTGATGCTAGACATCTTCCATTCTTAGAGCTCATCCTAGATATCCCCACTAATAGCCCTGATCCTATGTCACCAATTGTTAGTCCTGATCCTAGATGTCATAATATTCCTCCTGATCTCAGATGTCCCATTCTTAGTCCTGGATGTCACACCATTGCAATCTAATCAAGCACTGTCCATCCAGTGATGACCCTATGGGAGGGGGTGCAGATGGATGAGGACAGTAGATGGGTACAGTTGGTGTCCTGTACATAAAGTATGAGGGGGTGGGGGGTGTCATGTAGAATCATATGGGGGCGATGGTAGGCAATGCAGTTGGCAGAGTTGGTAAAAGTTTACAAATTGTGTAATCAGATTGGTATACGATCTTTGTTTTAGTTTGCGACCTGTGTGCATAGTGTTCAGTGTCTTTCAGTCATTGGTGAGGTGCATGGTGTAACGGTCGGAGGTGATCGGCGCAGTGCATGGCGTAATGGTCGGTGTCGGATGTGACCAGTGAGGTGTAATGGTCGGAGGAGATCGGCGCAGCGTATGGTGTAATGGTCGGAGGCGATCGGGATGCGTATGGTGTAATGGTCGGAGGCGATCGGCGTATGGTGTAATGGTCGGAGGCGATCGGCGCGGCGTATGGTGTAATGGTCGGAGGCGATCGGTGCACTGTAATGGTCGGAGGCGATCGGTGCACTGTAATGGTCGGAGGCGATCGGTGCACTGTAATGGTCGGAGGCGATCGGTGCACTGTAATGGTCGGAGGCGATCGGTGCACTGTAATGGTCGGAGGCGATCGGTGCAGTGTGTGGTGTAATGGTCAGTGTCGGGTGCTATCGGTGTAATGGTCGGTGTCGGGTGTGATCGGTGCGGTGTATGGTGTAATGGTCGGAGGCGATCGGCGCGGTGTATGGTGTAATGGTCGGAGGCGATTGGTGCACTGTAATGGTCGGAGGTGATCGGTGCAGTGTGTGGTGTAATGGTCAGTGTCGGGTGCTATCGGTGTAATGGTCGGTGTCGGGGTGTGATCGGTGCGGTGTATGGTGTAATGGTCGGAGGCGATCGGCGCGGGTGTATGGTGTAATGGTCGGAGGCGATTGGTGCACTGTAATGGTCGGAGGTGATCGGTGCAGTGTGTGGTGTAATGGTCAGTGTCGGGTGCTATCGGTGTAATGGTCGGTGTCGGGTGTGATCGGTGCGGTGTATGGTGTAATGGTCGGAGGCGATCGGCGCGGTGTATGGTGTAATGGTCGGAGGCGATTGGTGCACTGTAATGGTCGGAGGTGATCGGTGCAGTGTGTGGTGTAATGGTCAGTGTCGGGTGCTATCGGTGTAATGGTCGGTGTCGGGTGTGATCGGTGCGGTGTATGGTTGGTGTCCGAAGTCACTACTCACCCTCAGGGCGTCGTCGGCCTGGATCTCCCGGTAGATGTGTCTCACCATGCCGGCGGTCTCCTCGTTGCTGTCGGGGTTGATGTCCCAGAGGACGAGCTGAGCCCGGCGGCGGGCGAACTCCAGAGCGAAGAGCCGTCCTAAGCCGCTGCCCGCCCCGGTGATGAGACACACCTGGCCGGCCACACTCTTCTCCTTGGGGCGGACCAGCCACTTGGCCCCGGCCAGCACGAAGGCCCACAGGACCTTGAAAGTGACGAGGAAGAACTCCAGCACGATGTTCATAGTCCCGGTGGAGGGTCCGATGCAGTCCGGGGTGACGGCGGCGGAGGTGCCCGGTGGTGTCGGGTGCCCGGTGGTGTCGGAGAGGTCAGTATTCGGTGCTCCTCACACTCCCTCCACCCATGTCCCGTCCGCGGTGCTGTGTGCCCGGCTGGCAGGGAAGAGCCGGCCCCTCCCGTCTGACCAATGAGAATAGCTATACCGGGCAGAGAAGCAGCAGAGCTGGGGGCCCGTACACTGCATGTTGTGGCCCCGGGATCGCACTATATACCCGGCACCGGGACTCCTCACAGCCCCGCCCGCTACAGCCCGCACACACTCAGCGTACAGAGGGGCGGAACTAAGACAAAACTCAGCGCTAACTCCGCCCATAACTTCACATGCCGCCGGGGGAGGGGCCCTGCTAAACTCTGTGCTAACTCCGCCCAGAACTCAGCCACTGCCCATGACTTACACCGATCAGCCATAACATTATAACCACTGACAGGTAAAGGGAATAACATCCATTATCTGGTCACCATGGCACCTAATATTGGGTAGGATATATAGGGCTGCAAGTGAACATGCTGTCCCTGAAGTTGTTGTGTTGAAAGCAGAAAAAATAGGCAAGGATCTGGGTGACTTTGACAAGGGCCAGATTGTAACCTCTGGATGAGGGGCTCACAGCAACTCCGGAACTGCAGCTCTTGTGTGATGTTCCCAATCTGCAGTGGTCAGGACCAACCAAAAGTGGTCCAAGGATGGAACGCTGGAGACAGGGTCATGGTTGACCAATGCTCCTTGATACACATGGAGAACAGAGGCTGGTCCATGTAGATCAGTCCAATAGAAGAGCTACTGGAGCTCAAATTGCTGAAAACGTTCATGCTAGTTCCAACAGAAAAGTGTCAGAACACACAGTACATCAGTTTGTTGTGTATGGGATGTGTAGCCACAGACCGGTCAGGGTGCCCATGCTGATCCGTGTCCACAGCTAAAAGCGCCTACAATGAGCATCAGAACTGGACCATGGAGCCGTGGAAGAATGTGGCCTGGTCTGATTAATCACATTTTCTTTTACATCATGTGGATGGCGGGGTGCCGGTACGTCACTTACCTGGGGAAGAGTTTGTGTGATGCTTTGGACAATGTTCTGCTAGGAAACCTTGGGTCCTGCCATTCATGTGGGTGTTACTTGATATGTGTCACCTACTTACACATTGTTGGGGACCAAGTACACCCCTTCATAGAAACAGTATTCACTGATGGCAGTGGCCTCTTTCAGCAGGCAACACTGCAAAAATGGTTCAAGAATGGTTTGAGGAACAAAACAATGAGTTTGAGGTGTTGACTTGGCATCCAAATTCTTCAGATCTCAATCCATTGAGCATCTATGGGATGTGCTGGAAAAACAAGTCTGTTCCATGGAGGATGCACATCAAAAGTTACAGGACTTAAAGGATCTGCTACCTATGGCTAAGTGCCAGATATCACAGCATGCCTTCAAAGGGCTAGTGGAGTTGATGCCTCAATGGGTCAGAGCTGTTTTGGTGGCAAAAGGGAGACCTACTCAATATTAGGTGGCTGGTTACAATCTTATGGATGATCAATATATACTGTATCTACCAGGACCCCGATGGCCAAGTTACCATTTCTACCCAACAGCCAATGACAGAGCCCATAATAATGCACAATAAAGAATTGGAAGGTCCAGATGGGACATTATAAACCATATTATTTTTTGACTTCATTGAAAAATACTTGGTGATCCAGATATGAAGATCTTTACTGAAGCACTTCCTGTTATAGGGTGACAACATTCTGTCCCCATCCCCCTATTGTGCTCCTGAGTTGTCACCCTGTCATATAGCTTTAGAGGGAGACTACTAGCAAACCTGTCAACACATATGATCAACTGTTGTCACCCATCAGAAAACCCTCTCTTAGAAAAGTTATGCAGCCATCATTGGAGTACATGAAGACAAGAAGAGATGATACAAATGATCAGTGCTAACATGCAATTAAGAAAGAAAAAAGGTGAAAAAAGGAATTCAGCCCCTTTCACACTCTGTCTTGCTTAGCCAGAGATCTGTCTTCTGATATCCTGCTGATCAGAGCAGAGCGGGCGGATGACAGGGCCGTGCCCGCTCAGTTTCTGCAGAGCAGACATGGACACAGCCCACTCTTCTCTATGGACTGGCGGGTGTAAATGGACTCCACTGTGGGGGATGGTTCCCCTTTCTCTTGTTGTAGTAGACTGGATCGGAGGTAGGCGGGTGTTATTGGACTTTTGAATGTTTGATTATTATGTTTATTGTATATGTAATTTTTGGTAATAATGTTCCATAAATATTTGCAGTATGGAAAATGAAATGAACACTATATACTGTATAGTAACCTACCATAGCAAGTGAAGGCTCAGGTGTTGGGCTGTGAACTGTGGTGGCAGGGCATAGCTCTAAGTCAGGGTACAATCCATGGCATCTAGGCGGTCCCTGGATATACACACAAACTCTTTTGAGGGATTTAGAATGCAGGAATGCAGTATAGTGCCAGTACTTTGTGGGCAGTGTTTTATTGCCCATAGACATTAGATAGTGATTGGAATATATTATGCAGGCACAATGTGACCAGCCTCAGGGTAGCGTATCTCCTGAGTAATGCAGATTCCTTCAAAAACATGCAAAGTCCAATCTGCCAATCAATAAAGTTTATATCACTGTAGAGCAGCGGACGGAGGAGGAGCAGGTCCGAAGCTTCCACTAGGGGGCCGCCTAGGGTGCACTTTCTCCCAGGGGCACCTGAGCGCCTGGGCGCAGCACCTGCCGGCACTCTTGCTGTGTGGGATGCTGCCACGTCATGAATGATCCTTCAGCTGAGAGGAGGGGCAGCAGAGGGGAGGAAGAAAGGACAGAGGAAGATGTGTCTGGGGACAGTGTAGCAGCTGAGAAGCTGTTCCTTCCAGTGTTCCTCTCAGACTCAGTCCCTTACTGCAAGACGGCTGGCGGCTGCTGATCACTGTGCAGTTCCAGCTTTTCTTTTCCCATTCATCAGCGGAGGTGGAGCTGCACCTGCGGAGGAAGGTAATGTTTGACTCGTGTCTGTGTGAGTGTGACCCGGCCGGCCAGACATTCATCACACGTGCTATGTGTCAGTGAGTGATGACATCATCATGATCCCAAAGCCTGCTCTTCTAGTGCCTGCTGGGCTTGCTGATCTGTATCAGTGTTGGTGGTAGTGTGTTGTGTCGGATCTGTCACTGAACAGAATTGCTCAGTTCAGCTGCCTGCTGTCACAGCGTTTTATCTCCCCCATTGCCTGGGGAATTCCAGCCTGGGATCTGTCAGAGTGTGGATCCATCATCCTCCACTCACTGCAACTGTCACCCTGCCACTGCCAGCCACAGATACAGTCTTTCCGTGATACTGATTTTGTCTTTAATATTGGTGCTGGTGGCATCTTATGGCACTTATTTTTGCAAGTTAACAGAAATTTAGCAGTTTCATGTTTGTTGATTTATTATTTTCTACTGTTTCTTTAAAGTAGCTGGTCTTGCCCAGGGTGCACAGGCCATGAGGAGGAGAGCAGACTCTGCTGGCGCCACTTATCTTGTCTGGGAACAATAGCAATTTGGACAGGTTTTCTAACCCCTCCAATCAATGTTTCCCGCAACCACTATCAGCTGGTAAGTATCTGCCTCCTACCATTGCCTTGGGAATATCACCCAGTATAGGCAAAAGCATGTGATCTCATGTCTGTGGCCTGCTATATTCCCCATTCACACTTGCATATGGGCCTTTCTGCAATTAGATGTCGAAGGCCCATTGGAGTAATTACCTGCGAATGACTGGCCCTGGATGCAGACTGTCAGGCATCTTACTGAACACAGGAGGGCACTTACTCAACATGGGCACCAATCAGAGAACACTTTGCATTTTCTCAATGAATGCAAAGTGTTCATTGATTAGACAAAGAGGAAATTGTGACTTCACCACCTTGCTTCCACAAGGATCCCATGGGTATAGCACATGCATACTTACATTGGTCCAAGCTTGACCAATGTATGTGAAAATTGCTGGACCTAAACTTCAGCTTTAAACATGTTATTACGGAATTCAGAAATAAAACATGTTTTCTCACAAATAATGGAGTAATTTTAAAGCTCAACTCCGAACAAATAAAAAAAATAGATCCTTTGCAGTGGGGCTGCGTCTGCACTGAAAGGGTTAATTGCTCATTTATGGTGAACAATAAAAGGAAATATACTTACCCGATCCTCTGCTTCTCCCCACAGCTCAACTGTCCCGCTGTCATAATACAATAGTACAACAGGGCGGATTTCCCCATCCACCTGGAATGTGTGGATGGGGGAATCTGTTCAGTTTTTTTTTTGATCAGCCTACTGGCTGATCAAAAAGAACAAACTGCATAACCCTAGGTTCACACCTAAGCATTTTCCGCAGCGTTTTGCATTTTGCAGAAACGCATCACAGTCAATTTAACATGATTTCCTATGGGACATGTTCACATCTCCGCGTTTTCACCCAGTGCATTTTTTGGAAAGGATCAGGGACTTTTTGGAATGCAAAAAGTTGCGTTTTTGGTTTTATAGACTTCAATGAAAACACTGCAGAAAAGCATGTAGTGCGTTTTTGATGCATTTTTGCCACGTTTTTTGATGCATTTTGCATTTTAAATCTGCCTAGAAACAAGAAAAATGAAAAAAAAAACCACAAACCATATAAAAAAACGCATAAAAAAAAGCAGGTGCCAGAATGCAATACAAAACGCAATGCAGAAACGGGTCAAAAGCAACATGCATAGGTGTGAACCTAACCTAATGTATGGCCAGCATTAGACAATGAAGATGCCATCCCTGACAACTGCACAGAATGTTTTGTTAGGCACTGATTATAGATCTTCATGCGCTTGGCTAACTGTTTTTTTTTTCTTTTAAGCAGAACCCCATGTAAAAATATTTTGCCCATACAGTGGTGATGTGCCTGCACCATATGGGTTAACTG